ATTCGATGTAGTTCCTTTTAACATTACTGGTTCTTTTATCATTATTTTTTTTATAATATTTGTTACATATTTAGTTGCATTTTTATTGTATTTTATATTACAAGGTCTCTATTAGCAATTTTTATTGTACTTTTTATTACAAGATCTCTAATTATATTTTAAGTGATGATGGCTATAATATAATAAAAACATGCATTTAGAATAAATGATTAAAAAAAAATTTTAAAAGTTGTCTTGTCTATTAGAACTAGGTGGTATGACCCATACGACACGGGTCGTGCCAAGTTTAATCCACACCCGACAGTTTTTAAAGTTGCTCCTTAGTCTTTATACTTTAATTTATTTAGGAAACTTTAGAAAATAAATCAATTTAAATTTCTAGTAAATGGTGAAATACGTTTTTTGGTTGCAATTGCAATTAAAATTTGCATTTTACCACCTACCAGATGGTAAAATGTGAATTCTTAAGAAAATTATATCAAACTTTAATTGCTCGTTAAATTTTAATAAATATAAAAAAAAAGTCTAGTTTAAATAAAATATATCAAATACCAATATATTTAATTTAAAAAATTGATGAGGAAATGTTTTTGGTGTTTCGACTGTTGTGTTCATTAAAATTTTTTGGTTTGCTAAAAAGTACACAGTTTGCATTTTACTGACTACCTACAGTTCTTGATTTCTAGTTTACTGTTGTTTAGAACTAATTTGTATTTTTACTTATTACAATATTACTTATTTACATTAAACTGTTTTTGTTTTCTTAAACTATTTTTCTAACTATAAAAAAGTTATATAATTGTTGAAATACATTAACAATTATACTGATTTAACTGCGGAATTAGCTGTGGTTACTCGTACGATACGGGTCGCAGCAACTCTATTTTGCATCGGGCTATTTCCAAACTTGATTAAGTCTATATACCTTAAGTAAACAGCAAAAACTTAGTAGATTTAAAGTTTTTGGGTAATAATTGACTTAATATACTTTAGATACTTTCAAATTTAGATTAATATACTTATTTACTTAATATACTCCAATAATTTATACATAAAAGGATCTTTAACATAATAGAGACAGTTGAGTAACATATGTCAAGTGTTTTTGAAAACTTAAACCGTAATCAAGATTTTACCCTCTCATCAAGATTTATTTAAAAAACAATTTTAGACATAAGAAAACGGGCCTAAGAGACTTGTTATTTTAAAGTTAGCTCTATCCGTTTGATACTTTTTACAAAATATATATATATACGTTATATATATATATATATATATATATATATATATATATATATATATATATATAATATATATATATATATATATATATATATATATATATATATATATATATATATATATGTATATATATATATATATATATATATATATATATATATATATATATATATATATATATATATATATATATATATATATATATATATATATATATATATATTTATATATATATATATATATATATATATATAATTAGAAGTTATATATTTTTACAACCTTTGTAATATTTTACTTCTAGACTTCTTTTTTTTTTTTTGAAACTGTGATTTTATTTTATAGTTTTACTCGAGTATTAAATTAGTTAAAAATTATTTTAATTTGTGCAATTGCTATCTATTTTAGCAGATGATTATAATCAGTTCGGGCAGTTGCTGCGAAATACAAATAGGTCAGAAAAAAACTGACGTCAATTTAAAGAAAACTGACTTATGGATTATCAGTTTTTCTCAGGCAGCAATAAAGTAAAGATATCTTACAGATCTGCAAAAGCCAATTTTTTTTGCTGTTTTAGCTTTAGCAATAGATGCTAATTAAAAAAAAAGAAAATTTAATGCTTATTTTTAAACATGTTTCTGAACGTTTTGTGCTCTTCGTACAAATAAACAATATTATAAACCGGCTTGACGGAAAAAAATTATTAAAAAAACTTATTGGCTCTAATAAAAAAACTTTTAGGTAAGGTCACCAGCGCTAAGTTTAAATATTAATGAAATTTAATTTCAATTTCATTGTGCCATGATAGAACTTGATTTTGGAGTTTGAAAATCGCTTTCAGATAATCACAATTACCGTAATAAAAGCTGCCATACAAATATCACCGGCGTTTTTCAGTACCATCATAAAGGCAAAGAAATGTTTAATTTTTATGTCTTTATTATGTATAAAAAAATATCTAATTTCAAAAATTTTTAGTAAAACTGATATTTTTTAAACGCCCACTTAAAGGGCGCCGACGTTTTTTTAGATGTTTTTTTGGATGTTTTAACAAGTTTTAAACGTAATAAAAACATTCAAAGAATTTTAAAAACGTATACCACGCCCAAGTTGCCAACTGTATTATCCATACAGTCTGCGCAAACACCGCAGTACACATAATGATTCAAGCATTAATTATCAAGCAATTACCTATTGATTAGCGGCATTGTTGCTGATAATTGATTTAATTATTTAATTTGAAATAATTTTAAGACCAACATGTCCTTATTAATTAATTACCAAAACAAGAGGAAGGAAAATGATATTAATTATCTATTCAAAGCGCATTTCTATTTAATATAAATAGGTTGCGAAATTCCTTCATTTAATATTTCCGAAATAACTTTTGAACCGATCAAAATTAGAAAAAAAAACAATACATAAGGATGCAAAAAGCAAACTTGAGTCAAGTTCGACTTGAACCTTACTTTGTAACCAATAGCGGCAGAGTATTTTTTGAGGGGAAAACCCATACTCTGTCACTATTGGTTGCAATGTAAAGTTCAAGTCGAGCTTGACTCAAGTTCCCCTGTAAACACCGTACGATGGCCCTTTATTGGGCCAATAATTTTTTTAAAAATATATAACGGGCCATTGTATGCCATCGTTTTGTCTAAATTGCTGAGGCTTTGCGTTTGTCGGCTTGTTTTTGTAGCTGATATAGAAGCCTAAATACTGGCCGACTTATTTGTGAATTTATTGGGCCAAGATTGGCTAATAAATATAAAATAATTATATACTAATAGCTGCTATAAAGTCGTATTTTTATTATGGCGCACATTTCGGATTAACGCAATCATTCTGGACCAATAATAATAATATTATTATTGGATTTGCGTTTGTCGGCTTGCATTTGTCGGCTTGCGTTTGTCGGCTTGCGTTTGTCGGAAATAAGCCGAATTTATAATTCGGCTTATTTCCAATAATAATAATATTATCATTGGAAATAAGATATTATTATTTTAGAATTGAATTAAATTTAGAACTGTATTTTAAATTCAATTTCAAAGTATGCATATATATATATGAATTACACACATATTTTTTTTCCATAGTTTTAGTTTTTTATCATTATAGCTTTACTAAAGTTTATATAACTTATATAAAAAGGGATTTCAACAGATCATGGATACTGTGCAAACTTATTGGTCAAAGAGAAGAAAAATAGTTAAATCTGTCAACAAAATTATGTCCGATATTGATACAGTATTTTCTATTTCTAATAATAAAAAAGCTTTAAATAAAGTTAGTTTTATATTTCATGCCTCTTAATAAAAGGCATAACATATAAAACTATCTTTTTTTAAAGCTTTATAAGAATTGGAGAGAAGTGATCTAATAAATGCTAATTGTAGGACAAAAAAGTAATGATACTGTAGGACAAAAAGATGATCATGTTGTTTGTAATCAGCATTTATTAGATCACTTCTCTCCAACTCTTAATAACTCCAAATATAATAACGATTCTGAGTTTAATATGCTGTATTTAAATTCAATAGATAGAGAAAAGTTGACTGAAAATAGTAGTTATGACGAATTTGTAACAAATAGTTGGAAAATGTTTATGAAGCAGGATACAATTGAGTCCGTTGATGTAGAGTCATTGTCGAATGATAGCAATGAGGAAAACAAACCTGATTTTAAAAATGAAAAAAAAATAGCTATTATTTGATTTGGAAATGTAGGCAGCATTATTTTCTACTCCTATGGTTGCAGTGTCTTCACTTTTAGATATACTTAGAGTGTTGCGCCCATCACTTCCAAAAGATCCAATTTTTGATTGGCTTGTTTTGCGGTCGATGTAAATCAGTTAACTTGAATGAATATTCAAAAGATTTCATTGAAAAAATGTTAGAATTGGAAAAAGGTCCTATTAAAATTGATTTAGATGGTACAAAATACTCAATAAACATTGGTATATCCTGCTTTGTATGTGGTATTCCTGCAAGGGCATATAAAAAACAAACTAAAGGACATAGTGGATATTACAGTTGTAATAAGTGTATCCAAAAAGGGGAATGGCACAGTAAGGTTACATTTCTTAAAACTGATGCTCCACTTAGAACTGATCATTATTTTAATGAAATGACAGATGCTAATCATTACATTGGAGATACTCCACTTAAAAAGTTGTATATTGGAATGGTAACTGATTGATTTTATGCACCTAGTGTGCCTAGGAGTAATAAAAAGGATTTTGATGTTTTTAATAAAAAGCCCTGTTAGTGATGGAATAAGATGTTTCACTAATTTCATCACTAACAGGGCTTTTTATTAAAAACACTGCTTTTCAACGCACTATGTATTTAAGTGACATAGAGCGTTGGAAAGCAGTGAAATTCAGTCAATTTTTATTATACACTGGCATTGTTGCACTAAAAGGACATCTTTCGAAATCTGTATACAACATTTTCTTTTGTTTTTTGTTGGGATACACTGTTTAGCCAGTTCAGATCTTTATCAAAGTCATGCTGATTATACGGAATCTATTTTACGCGCCTTTTAAAAAAAGAGAGCACAAAGAATGCAGTTTTGAGAGCACAAACAGAGTGTCTACAGTATCAAGAAATTACATTAAATGGAATTTTTTACTCTACTTTAAAAGGAAATAATTGCATAAAAATAAAAAATGAATTTTGTTTAATTTGTAACATATTAAAACTTTATGATGAAAATAGGCATGTTTATGAAAAATTTCTTACTATTGAACATTTCTTTAGATATCTTGCAAATTCTTTCCAATGTTTTGGTAAAGTAAAGGTCTCTAAGTTATTATGTCAGTATGAATCTGCCACAACAGATGAAATACAGAAAAAATAGGTTATACTACCATGCAAGTCCAAATTTGTTTTTATTTCAGTTAGTAATGTAACATTTAGTTGAATTTGAGGATAAAACGGCGGTGGTTCCTGATTGCTGGTTGTTACAAGAATCAGCTACATGTTATTGGCCTCAGGGAACTGGTGGAACACAATGGTCAAAAATGAAAAAGTTATTAATTCCTAATCACAAAGATTGGCCTCTTTATTCTTATATAAAAATGTTGAAAATTGGAGGTATATAATTTCTATATCGTTTTGAAAATTTTTGATTAAATGATTGTTTCTGCAAATTATAATTTTCTAGACTATGAAAAAATAAAAAAGGCAGAGGCTAAATTTTTGCACTACACAAATTTTTCTTCAAGTTGTTCGGAAATAAAACATGATTTAAAGAGGAAAAATTTGCAAACACTTTCAATTGAGAAAAAGGTAAAAAAATAAGAATTCGAAAATCAAGAAAAAGAAAAAATCATGTAGACAGTCAACTTCAACCACTTCCACAGATCAAATTGGTAAACCTTCACCAGCTAGTTCTAGCACAAACATCACATCTTCAATTCGTAAGTTTTGCATTTAAAATAATATTTTAAAATTAATATATTGTATATTGCAAGTTTGGCATATGTGTTCAAATAATAAACCGCTTTTGAAAGTTACAAAATACTAAGTTTTTTATGGTTCCTGGTGCTCTAATAAGTTAGAGGTTTTTTTTATTTTTTATTTTGTAGTTAACATTTATAGTTCGGAAGTCTCTCAACTTTTTTAAATGCCCTAACACTAGAAATTATGCAAAAACAACGATTTTGTAACTTCTAAAATTCCTAGGGTCCTTAGGGGTTTCTATATACCTGAAAATTTTCTATAAATATAATTTATTGTTTTTGGATAGTTCCTGATTTAGTAAAACAAGCTGTGGCTGATGTTGTTTGACCATATTTTCATAGTGTTATTAAACAGTTGGAGGAAATTAATTCAGAGTTAGGTGTGCAGCGCCAAAAGCAAGTTTCTATTAATCATAATACAATTGGAAATCTTCCACAAAACTTTATATTTATATTAAAAAAATTGATGAACTCTTACAGTTAAAGAGCATTATTCTGGAAAATACTGATCAAAATGTCGATCAAATGCAGTAAGTCTAATAATATCATTATATAATATAAAGTATATAAAAGTTTACCTTTATTTTTTAAATTAAATTAGTATATTTTTTTCTGTTCCGAATCGACCTCATTTATAATAACATTTATACTTGAGTATAAACTCATTTTCGTATGCAATAGCAAATGGAAAATGTTTATTTCATTATAGGTTATTTTTTTGTTTCTAATTGAAGGAAATGGTCTTGATGACTGTTTGAGTAAAGTTGCTAAGAAAATCTTGACAGCAAAACTCTCAATGCTTTATAACTTTACAAGAAGAAAAGGGTAAATTAGAGTTTGGTTGTCTAGTTGGGGTAAAAAATGTGATATATGGTAGGCAAACTTATAAATAAAATTACTCTCATTATTATTTATTCTAAAATTTTTATTCTCATCATCGTCGTCATCATCATCACTATCATTATTATAAACATCATAAATATTCTATAATAAATTTTTATAATTATGCATTTGTATTATTTAACAAAATCATTATGATAATTATAATGTAATTATGAAAGATGTAAATCCCATTTGTTTTACAATACAATAATAAAAATTTTATTTTTGTTTATATATGCTTCTTTACCTTATTCTTACAGTTTACCATGTTTTGTCAACTCGTTTTTCAGGAGGTAAAGGCAGTAGTTCAATGTTGTAGTTTATTAAAGAAATCCACTAGCTGCTTTGGCCTCGGGGAATAGGTGCCACAAAATAGGCAAAATAAGAAATGCACTCACATTAAATAACAAACACTGACCTATTTTTCCATAATTATGGTTATTGAAAAGTGGAGGTAAGTAAAATAGTACCAATTCTATTATCATACTCTACTATCTTTGCTTACATTTTTTGATTGATATGCCAAAAAAGCAAACACAGTGGGTAGCATTCATTTATACTTTATGATTAAAAAAAAAGTTATAAATTACTTTTCAGGATTCGAGCTCAAGCTTAGAAGAAGAACTACAAATGCCACAAACAATGATGCATTAATCATTTCCTACACCACTACATCTATGTGTCTTACTTTTGTGAAATTGTACTTACATTTCACAAAAGGTTTGGTAAACCAGACCTGAAAGCTGATGTTAATGAGCAGTGGCAGAAATAAGCCTGCATCGGACAAACCATTAATGCACCTCTCTCAGATGCCTTGACTTTTCCACTCCAAGAGATAAATGATCTTCTGGAAATCAACCTAATTGCAAGATTCTAAGAAGTGATCAAGAACAGTAAGCTATTTTTTATTGATTTGTTAGTTTTTATTATTTTTTATTATCTCTATTTTAATAAATTGTTTAATGTTTTTTCTATATAATCGGTTATATAATTGTAGAAATAATAATTATATATTTTCTTTCTAACATACATCAATAAAATAACATAAATGCAGAGTTATTATTGTTAATCAGAGTATTACACTTTTCCTTCTGTGTAGTCAATTTTTCATGTGCTGACCATTAAATTAAGTGACTTTTCCTTGCCTTTAGAGACAGGAATAGAGTTAGACCTTTTGCATGAGGAATTTTTTTTTTTAGTAAATTATTGTGTAAAATTGGTATCGGTAAAAATATTGTGGAACTCAATATCCAAACAAAATAGAGTCCAGATCTCAAAATTAAGATACAGGTACCCCGGTAATTGGATCCAGATCTTGTATCTAACTATGTCCTACACATTAGGGTTTTACTCTGGTTTTAAAATTAAAGTGTCATATTTCTAAACATCTCTGATGTCCTTTCACTTTAAACTAAAAATTACTATGACACTCTCATTTTAACACCAGATTAAAACCCTAATGTATACACAGGTGGTCTGTATGATGGTGGATTAAAGTTTTATTTTGATAGATAGATTTTTATTTTTTTTATTTTTTGTTTATCTCTGATTACTCTTAATATTTGTTTATGCAAGTGCAGTACGAAAACTATCCCTAAGCGACAATTAGTCAACCGGACAAGATGCTGCCAAAATGGCTATCAAGTTCAATTGACATGGATGGTCTTGAAAAAATCGCTAGGAGAGGCGTAGAGGAAAGTTCTTTAGAAGACATTTAATTTTTATATTAAATGTAATGAAGTGTCTTTTATAATGTATTTATTTTCTTTTTTACATTGTTGTTTTATTGGATATTCGTTGAAAATATTTATCGAATAAATTTCTTTTATATGATTTATGTTTTTTGAATTTTATTTGAAACAAATCGACATTCCTTTTATTTTAAAAAGATTATTTTGAAAAGAAATTCAGTGTAATATTCTATGTATTACAAGTTTGTTAACATAGAAATGACAATTCTAAGCTCTTGTTGCCAAAAAAAAATGTGTGAATATATAAAGTGCCAAGAATAGCCAATATTAGGCTTGTATTAGCCGATATTGGGCTTGAATTGCCCAACGTTGGGCCAGTATTAACCTATATCGCCCCATTAATGGTCGATGTTGGGCCATGATAAGCAAATCAAAACCAATAATGGCCCAATATTGGAGCCATGATTAATCTAGCAATCGGACAATGTTTGCCCAATAAAGTCCCAATTTGCGCTCCCTAATATTTGCCCCATGTTTGCGGCCAATATTTGCCTAATACAGTAGCCAATAATTGCCCAATCATGGCCCAAGGAATTTGTGCTATCTGTATCGCTTCCTACATTCCACACATAGATTCTTTGAAAAATTTTCCAATGTTTTAGTTTTTTAAATTTTAGATGGGAGTAAATAATTTCATTTTTATGAGAGTTTTAATTTTCCTGCTTTTTTTATAAATTATTTTGGTCAATCAATTGTCTTATCAAGCTTTTATAAAGAGAAGATTTTTTTCACATAATTTGATAAGAAATTTGTTTTTCTTTTTAAAGAAAGTTTAATTAAAAAATAATCTTATTCCAGAGTTAAGTTATAGTTTATTATTATAGTTTATTATAAGTTATATTAGTGCGTTGCGCGGATTTTAAAAACGTTTTTACAATGTCATATAATATTTTTCTAATTTTAAATATCTAATTAAATAATGATTTTAGCTTTGAAATTTAATTTTTTTTATTTGAAAATATCTCTTTTTCTTTTGTAAACGGATAGAAATATTTTTATTTATTCCTTAAAACTGTTGATTTTAAAATTAGGATATTTTTAAATATTTAAAAAAAAATTGTAACATTACTGATGTATTTACTTTTAATCGTGTTAACAAATTTAAACTTTTTATGTTACTTGGATTTATTACTATTTCTGTAAATAAAGATGAGGAATACTTTTTCATTCAAATTTGCGTGTACAGTATAAACTGTATATGCGTTAAAATTTGAAACCACGGTGTTAAAATTGTTAATTAATGTATTGAAAATAAAAATTGAAAAACAGTACTGAGAAAGGCGGTCTTTACTAATAAATCTTAATTGAATATAAGCTCCATATATTAAATCGAAATGTTTTTTTAATGAATAATATATATAGTTTAACTGATGAAAGAATTACATGAATAACAAGTTTTGCATTTGCATGAAACGCAACATTAGTTCAAACAATGGTTTGAAACAACCGTTTATAAATAAATTAATATCTAAAAAACTACCCTATAAACAAATTAATACTTTAGTGCGTTAAAAAACATTTTCAATGGACAATGTTTTATATAGTTGTTTATTGTTCATAATTAGAAATATTTTCATTATCTTTAAATTGAAATTAAGCAATTTTAAAGAATAAATCTTTTCGATGCTAACTTCATAACAAAAGTCGAAAAAAATGTTATATTATAATGTAAGTTTAATTTTTCTTTAAGTTTTTGTGTAAAATATATTTAATAAATATTTAAAATGCAATATATAAACTTATTTTTTTTTAAATGTAAATGTCTAGACAATAAAAAAGTTATGCTGCGTTTCGAGTACTATTTTAAATTAAGGTGCTGACTACCCCAACAATAAACTCGATATTTTTTTTTTGATTAGATATTAAATTTTTTTTTTTAAATAAAACCAAATTGTGAAAGTTTAAAATAATACAAAGTTTTACTCCAATGATTGTTAAAAAATTGTTTAATTCGATTGCAATATAATTTTGACAATGTATATTTTTTCTATTTGTAGTTTATGTGGAAATGAGGTAAAATTTTCCCTCTGACTATTTCCCTATTTAAAAAATTCAAGTAAAAACTCTTTGAAAGCAAAAGTACTTTAAATTATATTTGTATTTTTTTTAGCATTTTTACAAAGTTTGAAAAACAAACCTTTGGAAGTTTAGTATTTTATTTTCTATTTTAATGATTTAGGTTTTACTTATAATGTTAAATTTTATGATATCCTTAAATAGAATCCAAGAATAATGAATTCTAATTAAGAAAATGGTCGGAGACCTCAGTTCTAATCATTCTCTTTTAAAGTATATTTAATTTGTATATATATATATATATATATATATATATATATATATATATATATATATATATATATATATATATATATATATATATATATATATATATATATATATATATATATATATATATATATATACATATATAATATAATTAAAATATATAACTTATATTGACTAATAATGACATTAAAATATTTGCAAGTCTAGATGGACGGTTGATTAATTTGTATTATTCCTATTTTAAATAGGTTGTTGTAAAAATAATTGTTATTTTTAATTTTTAAGTAAGCATAGCGGTTTCTATTGAAATTTATTATTAGATAAAATTGTTTCTACGTTAAATTATTTTTTTCTAGTAATTTATTATCTAAGAAATAGCAAATGTTTTCAGCTTTACTACTTATTGGCTAATATATACAATTTATTAGGGTTTTCTTAAGTAAAATTTAGGTCAGGAGAGTTTTTGCTCATCTAGTTATGGATTATCTATTGATATTTTTCCGACATGTAGAACTTGATTTAAACAATTGAGATTCGTCCCACATATAGAATTCGATTTAAATAATTTACATTCGTCCCTCATGTACATTTTTATCACCTAAGCTGATACATTCCGTTTCTTGTATCAACAGTCTTTAATCCAGGTGTGATTCATTATTTTCCTGAGAATATAAAGTATGCTCAGTCTTCTTCTACAAATCAGTTACTTAAAAAAATTGCCCAAGGATTGTTAAAATGATTTAGTTCACTATTCTAAATAGTGAACTAAATCAATTTATCAATCTAAATTATCAAATGGTTAGTCAAATAACGGCATTAAAACCATCATTTATTTAATAAATTCAATAAAAATTATTTTTTCTATGTTCCTATTTTTAAACTAAAAATATTGAAAGGTTTTTTATTAACGTCGTTAATAGTTATTGATTCGTTATTTTAATTTTAAACTAATTTTTTTTTGAAATTTTTATTGCGAAACCTCACACTGTTTTAATACTTCTTACAAAAAACTGAAACCTCAAAATATACATTGAAAATATTTTTTCAAGTAAATTTTTTTGCTTAAATAGGTGTCGATTTTATCAAATAATTTATTTTCTATTTTTAAGAATATACATAATCAATATAATAAATTATTCATTTATTAGCTATGCAATCCAAAATAATCATTTAATTAGCAATAAAATGTTGAATGATAATTTTACTAGCAATGCAATTTAAAGTGACCATGTAAATAGTTATTTAACGAAAAATGGCCATGCCGTCTCTAGAAACAGTTAAAATGACCATGCCGTTTAAGCGTGTAAATTAGAGTTATAAGGATAACATAATCTTTGCTTGTAAAAAAGTCTACTTTTAGTATACAGAAATCCTAGTTATTTTGTCTTCTAATTTATGATTTATTTATTCACTACTTACATACTTTTTGTTACAATATTTTTCATTTTGTCGATATCTAAATTTATTTTACAAAATTAATGACAAAGTATTTTGTAGCAAAGTAAATCAAAAGTTCTTATACTAGATAACACTTATTTTCATTTTAACGCAACTCAAATTCAAATTACTTTAAAATCAAAAATTAAATTACATAAATTTTAACATAATATTGTGTATTACGCAAATTTATTTTAGCAAAATCTAGCGGTAATATTTGGAAGATTTTAAGACCCTAATGACACGTTTTTTTTTTTTTGAGGAGAGTGGGGGGAGTCTCTGACCTATTAGCCATTGCACTGCTAAAACCTGTTTTTTGTTGACTCTAAAAGTAGACAACCTATTTTTTGCATATGCATGCACACATGCCACCCCTTATATACTGGCCCTGAGTATACTCAGGGCCATTTTATAAGGAGTGGAATGGGCGCCTGCAGGATTTTTTGATGTTCCAGATACGACACATTCACAGTTTGTGCAAAAATTGGGATGGTGGAGACCTGTCAACAAATAGCCCTGAAACGCTTGCTCCCCTGCTCAAACGAAAGAGCACTTTTGTTGTAAAATTTTTAATTTAACGATCTAAAACTAAATTCAAATTTACCGACAGAATTTAAGTTATGTTAAAAATATTCGATGCAAAAAGCACAGCCCCTCAGTTATTTATTTTTTTTTGGGGAGGGGGTCGAAAAATTTTACTACATTATTCCCCTCACGTTTGGCAGGGAAAGGGATACAAGCATTTGAGGGCTTTTTTGTTCCTAGACTACCACCATAACAATTTTTTGCAAGGCCTCTTCAAATGGCATAGGTATAAACATACTTAAGTTTAGGTTTTGCACAATGTGTGGGAGTGGTTTATCTGGAACTTTAAAAAATCCTGCGGGCGCGTATGCATGTGTGTGCATAGAGAAAAACTATACCTTCTATTCCCTTACAATACATCTTTTTATGTTGGCAAACTGGGATCTTTAGTCAGAATTTTAACTTTTTTATTGACAATCTGGTTAATTGTGTAAAATTAGAAAAGCGAAGTATGCACTTTTAAATTGAATACGCTTTCGTACGCTTTTTGAAGACCTCCCCCCTCCCCTATGAGTGTACGTACTTTATGGACCACCCCTAACTTTAAATGCAAAGATTACGTTGCAAAGATTTATAGTTTTTAAGTTATTTAATAGATGTTAAAAACTAAAATAGAAGGTCAACCACAAATAAATAGCTGAAAACTGAATTGTTTTTTGCTAGTTTTTAGCTCATTTATCTTTTCTGAAAAAATTATTTAAGAATATTCTGTTTAATTAGAAAATATAGAATTTCGGAACCCCACAAACGTTATGCAGCTGAATCGGGTCTGAGTAACAGCATAAGTTTTTGCTTTATCTAATAACATCTTTCCAACAACACCTGTAAGTATAATGATGTATAACTACATCTATCCAACAACATCTTTAAATACACTGCGTTATAATAACATCGGTCCAACAATATCTGAAATTTCATTGATGTTTAATAACATCTGTGTAAACAGTATATGATTACTACAAATGTATTTACATCCTTTCAATTATCTAAGTATAACAACATTCCTGCAGCCACACCAGGAGATGATGCAGATGTAGTAACATCTTTTTAATTATTTTATGAATAATTACATCTGTTCAACAACACCTCTCAATTTAACAGAAATAATTACATCTTTTTCATTATATTAAATATAACTATAGGACTTTATGATATTACTAAATTATAATGCATTACATTAACCAGATATAGTTTCGTATAAGGTTTTATTCAGATGGAGTTGCATTTTTTAATATAAATGCGTTTTTTTAAACAGGTGAATTTTTATGTATGGTTTTTTTCAGATGCAGTCTTATCTGGATGAAAATTTATCAGATGCTTTTGGTTATAGTTACATCTTCCTAAAGATGTTGTAAGGGTTCATTGAATTTCCAGATGATGGGAGGAGGGATGATGTTGTAGTGAAATTAAAATACAAATGATCTTGGACAAAAGTGTTTTGTCCAAGATCATTATAATTTTGGACTACTTTACAGATGTTGTTGGGTAGATATTGTAATCTCTACCCCTAAATCAGTTGAAATATTTTTATTTTTTTTAATATTTATTAAATGAATATAAAATTACAAAAGTAGAACATATCCCTCTAAACGTCTCATTTTTACAGTATAGACATTTTATGCTCTTGCACATAGCCTAGAAAAAATTGGTTTGTTTTTTCATTGCAGTGATCAAACCGTAGAAATTCTAAATAAGTTTTACTGCTCTTTCAGCTGCATCATTAATTACTCCTATGGAAAAATATTTTTTTTGCTTCCATTAAAGTTTAATTATTTATTTTTTAATTAAATGATAGACTGCCTGTCCTAACCAAACTCTCTGTCGAAGTAGCAGCACTTCCTTGCAAGTCAGGCTATTTGTCAGTCAATGTAGCAGCATTTCCCTTGTTAGACAAACACAAGCAAAAAAAACCCAGCACAGAGTATGATAACTATGTACCAAATAAATATTTTTATATAAAATTTGAAATATAAAAAGGTTGAGACTCACAAAAAAACAAAAACATTTTCTTGTTTAATCTTAAAATGAAAAGATGTTTTGATAAAACCGTTTATTAAACATAATTTGTAAAAAAAATTTATAACACATTATTAAAAGAAAAAACATAGTTATAGAATAAAGTGCTATATAATTTACTAAAATTATAAATCAAGCAGAAAACACACAGAAATACATAACTACCATAATCTTGACAATAGGTATCAAAACCATAAGAGATTTACTTAGAAAACTATAAAGTCTTTTTTTGTGAGTCTTTAAAAGACCTTGGTTCATAAAAGTTATCATACAAAATAATAAAAAATGGTTTGAAAGCGAAATTTCATAAATTATATACTAAAGTTTAAAAGATTCTGAAACTT